CTCTCTATCTATCTATCGCTTGTTCCGTGCTCTCGCTTCTACGTTTAGTTCAGGAAGGCGACAATAAGATCGCGCGCACACCTTTGATTAAACAATCGCACAACTGTTTGGTTGCGCTTTGATGATGAACTTATATGGAGATTCGCACACTAATCGATTTTTTTTCGAATTCGCTGCGAAACAATCGACAATCGAACAGTTGGCGATAGTTTAGTCGAAAGGCGTGTGCCCGCTCTGTCATGTTCTTCATGAGTGCAGTCGGCTTTCATCGACAGAAGCCGTTATCACGTTAAAAATCTTAAATCTCAATAAAATACTTCACAACAATGACTGTTGTTACCGAATTGCGTAGAGAATTGCAACAATACGACTCCACAAAAGGAAATTCACTATATAACTGTTTATTCTCATGACGTGTTCGTACGTGACATGCGAGCGTTACAACACGCTGGAATCAAGTTTATTTTGGCAACGTATAGGCCCGGTTTGTTTGTTCGGTCCCTTTTGCTTCATGTAGCGCTCGCAGGATTACAGGCCTAGATTATACCCAATGTGTCAAAGAAAACATGAAGATGATATTAAATGAAAACATTGCGTCAATTTTGTGTACCATCTCGTTAGACCAGAGAATATTTAAATCCTGTATTTGAATGTACCTATAGTGAGTATGTAAATTAGTTAGCTTTCACCCGCGATTTCGTCTGCGTGGAATTAAAAAAAAAGGTAGTAACCTATATGTACCAAAATTCATCGAAATCCATTGAGCCGTTAGGCTACAAACTCTAACAAACATACATCCATCCATCTAAACTTTCGTATTTATAATGTTAAGGGCCAGTCCCACTACTGGCTGATAGAGGCTCAGTTACCTTAAAAATGACGTCAATGTGAAATAAGGAAACAAAATCCGATATTTTCATCACAGATTTTACACGTTCGATTGTTATTAGACAGTTTACAATTTGGTGGGACAGACCCTTAGTATGATAACCACCTTCTAATTTAACTATCACTAAAGTTAATCCAAAATCCTTACATTTCTTGATTATATGTTATAAACTTTTAAATCCTTTATTGAATGCATAATTTAAGTATATGTTTTAGTTTTTAGTTAGACCTATAGTCCTTGGAATAGTATCTATAACTAGTATTTGCTAAGGATGTACATTTTCTGACCTTATACGAAATAAGATTCATAAAATTGGGAACAGAATTCGACTCTTTGAATTTCAAATAACTTTTATAATTCAACTAATTCGTCGGTAGAATTTCACAATAAGTAGAACTAAATTTTAAACGTACGGAACACGGTAATATTAACTTTATATTAATGTGGGTAGTTCGTAAAGCGAGTAGACCTTCCTTTGGACTAATCACGTTGTTACGGGCTGTTAAAACTTTCAGTTTGCGGGGCAACTCTACGAAGTCACTTTGCGAACTCTAATGTACGGTTTTCAAGTTACTTGTATTACATTTACAGTACAGAAATGCATTTTCTTATTTATCTTTAGAGCGCGCGCACACATGACTGTTTAGTCTCGCTTTGTTTCCTATGAATTTATATGGAAGTGCGCACACTCGATTTTTATTTGTGCAACTAAGGGTGAGTTGCACCATATCGCCGGTTACCGTTAAAGTTAAAATTATTTGAAATGGTAATATTTGGAATAATCTTAAAATTTACCAATGATGAGTTACATTAACTAACTATAAACCTTAACCAGCACATTCCCGATGGTTACGTCTTCGGATGTTCATGATATTCGCTACACCAGTTTTGCGCTGGTCAAAATAACGTCATATTTGACACTAATCATAACCGCCCGATTTTGGGCGGTTATAGTTAGCGTTACGGTTAGTGTCAGTTCGGTAGTGTCAACTGTCACAAGCTCTTATCTTCAAAAGCACAAATAATGGAAAAAGTAATGGAAAAAGAAGATATCTACTATTATCCTATACGTAATCCAGAAGAATAAAGTCTTGCGTGCTCGGAAATAATGGATTTCCAAGATGGAACTCGAAATTTGGCCAAACATTCAGTTTGGACAAATTTCGAGTGTCTAAGGCCATAGCAACAGCGCTTGTCCCTTTTCTCTTATTTAAAAAAATGTCCTCCATAAAAGGTCAATTTATAATATGCATTGACAGGACAATTTATAATATGGAAAATAAATAAGATCCATTTATATTTGTATAATTTTATTGCTTCATTTTTGCTACATATTTGAGTAGTAAAGTAAATACAGTTTCAATAATGGCCCAAACTAGTTTATTTTCACAAGAGTTTGCCATTTTCTCCATCTTCGTGGGCAAAAAGTTTATTTCACTATAAAATACCATGCGTATGATACATAAATATAATCGGCGAAACATGAATTTCCAAACATTTTAATTTACGTAAATGTCATTCTTGACACCAACTTGACACTTTAGTGACATTCAGGTTTAAATGTTTCCATTGTAAAAACGAAAAACACATAAAACCTCTGTGAGAATATGTTTTTGCACTTGTAACCCTATTATAACTTTTACGATAACCAGCGATTTGATGCAACTCACCCTAAACAGTTGAATTGGCTGCGAAACAAATGACAATCGGCAATCGTACACAAGCGACTTAATTTTAAACTACGTATGTACTGAAGTACATAAACGAAACATAAATGTTTTTAACATCTATAAGTATGTATAGATTAGAGCAGTGATTCTCAACCTTTTTTTGTTGCGGCACATATTTAACGATTTCAAAATTTTGCAAAAAATAAAAAAAAGATTTTTTTATTTTTTCTTTGTGTGTATTAACTTACACACTACATAAATCGTTTATGACAAAAATATGCAAAATTTGGCAGCACACTTTTGTAATTTGGTCACACACAAAAGTGCCGCGGCACAGAGGTAGAGAATCACTGGATTAGAGAAACGATTGCTTCCTAAACATTAAGCTATCAGTAGACTTATCGACAACGCATAAAAATTTGTATGAACATGTATGTAGGTGGTAGAAATACTTATATATTTCTACAATTCTACACACAATAAGGTATATTTATGATGCACAGTTTACTACTCACCTAATGTTATTGCTCAAACTTTGTGAAGGACTAAGTCAAACTTTAAATTTGCTGACAAATTCCGAGTTTACAAACTACACTGAGGTCAGCTCAATGTTCGCTCGTTAACTTTAACTTAAATATTAGGAGCTGTGTTTTGCTTACTTTTAAGTAGCCAATCTAATATTCCTAAAATTATAAACCGTCAGATTTGTATCCTTATTTCTTACTTATTATTATAAACTAGCTGTTCCCATGCGACTTCATCCGCATAAAATTATAAATATTTCGTTTTATTGTTCAAATTTGTCAAATTTGCAAATGTCAAAATGACATGACATGATGTCATACCATGGCAACCTTGCTTCCTTGATGTTGGCAACAACTTATGTTCTCTTTCCCACATTAGGGTTTTTATCCAAAATATTTACCCCTAAGTTTAACGGCGTAAAAATATATAGCCTAAAGCGTGACGTAAGTGTAGGGCGTTTTATTAAAAAAGGGTTATTCGAAAATATGCTGTGATTGCTGACATCTTAGGCAACAAAGAAGTGTGTGTTTACGCTTTCTTATATTAGTACAGAAGTATAGATTGCGAAAGTTAAGGTGGATGGATGGATGTTTATTAGAGTGTGTAGCCTAAACGGCTGAACGGATCTTGATGAAATTTGAATAGATGTAAAGCATTGTCTACTTGCTTCTATTTTTTAAATTCCGCATGGACGGAGTCGCGGGCAAGGCTAGTTCAATATAAATATTGCTTTTTAAAGTTTAGGATAACTATAAAAAATAGATACTATTAACGACTCATATTTTATTATCATAAAGTCAAAAATAATGATTTTGTTGAAAGGAATCAACAATACTCTTTCGAGTTATGAAGGACAGATTTGGAAAAATTAACCAAAAAAATGGGACCCACCAGCAAGCATTACCTTTCGGATAAAAAAATAATTATCAAAATCGGTCCACTAGCGGCGGAATTATGCCGTAACACACAAAAAAAAATCATACAGACGAATTGAGTACCTCCTTCTTTTGGGAAGTCGGTCAAAAAAAGAAGTCTAAGGACTTTCCCTTTTTGGTACGTAGAAGGTATTAAATACAGTCATAGTATCTACTAATCTTCAGTAAATCTTTAATAACTCACCTCATTATAATTCACTTTAATTGAGAAACGTAGTTAAAACACATTTGCTCGTAGCGGCATACGCGTGCACTAACGCGCCGTAATACGCCGCATACACCAGGGATCCATTAGTTAATATGACACTGAGATATAATTTATACCACGTATACATAATTTATACAGAAAAAAATAGTTCAAACTTTTTTTTACAGGATCCATGTTGTTTTTTGTGTCCAGATTAGTTGTTTTTATTTAGTAGGACTTATAAAATTAGTTTTTCTCTAGTAGTCTAAAGTAAGAAATAAGTAAAAAGCACAATATTTTTTAATAAATGTAATTTATTAATTGTACAACTAGTAATAATCTGTGACTTAATAAAAGATCGCGTTAAAATAATACCAAATTTCATAAAATTCATGTTGTTTTATATACAAAAGATTGCTTATGTCATTTAGATGAAAAAAATATGAATTAAAAACAAAACATATGTGCAAGTATATTATTTACTTAATCAAGGTGTATTTACAATTAAACTTTTATTTTAAATGGGTTACAACTAACTACAATATCTTTGAATTCTAAAACCTAGTAGGTACTGTAATTTCAAAAATATATATTTATTTTAGTACATATTTTAATATTAACACTATAAGTTAGGTATGCTCTTAAAAGTAAAAAAGCTTGGACACTAAATTACATTTTTCTATAAGAAAAAATGAAGTACAAAGATACTCTAAAATAACTTATCCGCTCGAAAGAGCTTAAGATATGATTTTATATCTTAGTTTCAAAAACACAAGTCCCTTGAGAGACTGAACGTGAGTCTGAAAGACTTACAATAGCATTATTAGCCCAACACGTACAGTCTATATGAGCCACGCTACGCGACCACTTCTCTCCCTTTCTTCATTAGGCGGAGATGCACTGACGAGCGGAGCGGACGCTGTACCGGTTGGGGCTTCGCTCACACGACGCCGAGTGAGCGGGGGCTCGCGTCATGCGCCTATGTCGATACGCGCACACACAGCCGCGCTGACGAGGGTGACTAGCGCTAAAGCGATTTGCACTGATGCGATCACTACCAGGTCTCGTGAAGGAGGTCTTGCTTCGTCATCTGCTGATATGTCACTGAAAAATACCTTTGCATTTATTAAAGGTTGAAATTTCAATTAATTGAAAAACATGCCAATGCCAAAACAAAAATCTGCTAATCTTAAAATCATCAATCTCTCTCTCTCTCTCTCTTTCTCTCTCTCTTGTTGTCCCCAAAGTGGGAAAACAACTATCACACATGTCATAAATTATTATCAACTATCTTCAACAGAAACATTGCAACTTAAGATTGTTGCAATATAGTTTATCAAGATTTCTTAACCTTAAACGAATACTATAACAACGTACTTGTAATCAGTGCCGGTGGGATCAATGATAGTCCTGCAGCACTGCACGATTAGAGCGAGCAGTAGGCAGCCCGCTGCCGCCCATAGCACTGCAGCTGCACCCGCGCCCAGCGCCGCGCCCGCCGCACTCCCCGATACTGCGCTCCAGCCACGAGAGGTGTGGATTGATACCGCTATACAAATTGAAAACTACTTTATTGCTCAACTAATGGCAGCTCTGTCCGAACTAGAGAACTACTCTATGTGATAGATCACCAGGCTCCCATAATTAATCTTACAAAAACGTCGTTTTTAAATGTCTAGAGCTTAAAAAGCCGAATAGTGAAATCTTGTTACAAATTAATAGTATGAAAATTAAATATGAAAATCAAAATTATAAAACAATTTGTAAGCGTTAAAATCTTCGTTCGAATGTCTTTAGGAGATTATCAAGGAATGTTGCTTAGTGTTTTTTTTTTAATTATCAAAAATTCTTATTTAATTTTTTAATTCTCACCCGCGGCGACCACGCTAACGCAGCCGGCTGGTATACCGAGACCCATGTTGAACTTCTGTCGTTCCTCTATGAAGGCCACGCTGCCCATCACCATAGCTGATATGCCGCATACTATCTGAGAACAAAATTATATAAGTGTTACATATTAAAAAAAAGAAAACATTTAATACATAACAACACTAAAACACAAGAAATAATAAAAAAAAAGCAAAAACAAACATGACATATAGAAATTAAATCATCATCACCAGCTCACTATACGTCCTCACCGAGGTCGGAGCCTACCCTAAATTAGGGTGACTAGGCCTTAGTCAACCACGCTGGCCCACTGCGGGTTGGTTGACTTCACACATATCTTAGAATTTCTTCTCCGATATGTGCAGGTTGCATCACGATGTTTTCCTTCACCGTAAGAACGTCGGGTAAATTATGTACGTATGAAAATTCGAAAAATTGAAAATCACATTGGTACACGGCGGGATTCGAACCAAAGACCTGCAGATTACAAGTCAATTGCCTAAACCCCTGAGCCACCGACGCTCTAGAAATTAAATAGAAAATAATAAAGTTGTAATTAAATATTAAATTTTTAAGCATTGAAATGCTGACCGGATTCGATCAGAGCTCTGAGCCTCTTAACGTCTCTTATCTAGTCACATCAAGATAACTATCATATTTTTTGTACTTTCTTGTTACCTGTAGTACCCGAAGCCTTAGAATGATTGCTAGTGGATATGAAAATCCTCGGCGAAAGACGCTTCCATTTCTTTCTCCGGTGAGCGGCGCAACCGACTCCTTTCTTTGAGATAGAGCTGTCTGTAAATGTAAATGTTACCTTTAAATTCAACTACCATAAAACTTAGATCTTAACATATTATTGTGTGACAGTTATTTTGACTTAACACAATTTTTATTTTAAAATCGTACTTAATTCTAGCAATATACCAACAGAAAACAAAAACGAATCTAATTGCAGTTCTTTGATCATTACATATTCTTATTAAAAATATATTAATTTTAACCAATAAATATTATTTCTTATGTGAGTATCTTAACTTGTATTTTACTGATACCATTCATATAAATTTTATCGCTATTATAAATCTCCAAACTTAAAATCACATAAAACTAAATAGAATTTTCTGTCATACCACATTCAGCTCCTCCATATCGTCACAGCTATAAGGCTTCACGCATAATTTACGCTTCATAGGTATTGAATTTCAAATCTCGTCTGCGAACTCTCACAGATCAATAGTGCCTTGACATCTGAAAGAAAACCAATCTTAGGAACAAATATTTTGTTTGATGTAGGTCAACAAATTCAACAAATTGAAGAAAATTCCCCGTAAAGGGAACTTCGCATACGTGTTTCTATTATGACATACTTGCTTTCGCCTGCGAATCCGTCCGCGTTTAGTTAAAGAAAAAAGCAAGTAGCCTATGTGTTCTTCCAGACTATGCTCTAGATCTATTCCAAATTTAATGCAGATCCGTTCAGTCGTTTAGGGTACAAACTAAAAAACATCCATCCATCCATCTTAACTTTCGCATTATAATATAAATAAGATCTAAATTGTATGTTATTAGAAAGCAGATAAATAAATAACGTTACTATTGTAATTAACATTTATTAACCTTAAAGAACTATTAATAGATAGAATGAAGGTTCATCATCGGTCTTTTATCCACTCTCCACTTAGGCCTTCTACACAGTCTTTCGCCTTCCGTTACTAACGGCTTCTTGACATCACAACAAAGAATAATAGACAGAAAAATCACAACAGTCCCTATTTTCGTCCGATATAATCTGTGGTATTTATAACTAAGTCGATTTTTATTTGGATCTAGTTAAAACAAAATTTAATTTAACAAAACTAAAATCACATCTATCACCTACTCATCGTGTATTGTTATTTAAAAGTAAATTAAAAAATAAATATCTAAATTAACTATCACTAACTGGCTATTGAACAGATTTTCAATATCCTAAATGGCGGAGCGTAAGCTAAACAAAATATTTATTAACGCAAACCGCAAACTGAACTCACCAATTTGCTAATGGATTTACTGCGCAGTCAAGTGTCACTGGCGTTAATTAAACTGTCAGGTTCGTAAGAGAGCTATGAATAAATTTATCATGATAAATAATTTAAAAAATACATCATTAAATGAAATAAACAAAAGACGTAATGAGCTAAATTTAGCCAATGTTGCCTTGGGTTTTACTGAAACCATCAAAAGATTGTTTCCATCTCAGTTTTATCAAAGAGAAAGACAGAGATCACAATATTGTAGGAGAGTTTCGGATATAAAACATGACTATCGATAAATCTCATTCAACTGGACTGTCAGAGGTATTAACTGAATAGACATTTCGTAACAATGAAAGAAAATAGATGAAAAAAGAACTAAGCAATGTCGTGAGGAGGAAGCTAAAAAAAACATTTTCATTTCATTCTTCCATAAGAATTAGACTAAAAAAGTCACTCTTTATGAACAAATCGTTTATGTTTACTACTATTGAAACTCGAAAGTTACTTAACAACTACTCGAATACAGCTTTGTAACGATAGAAGCAAAATCACCACAATTAAGTCTGTTCCGACTTTAATCGAGAAACTTTTGCCTCCGAATTGCGATATTTTGCTGCGCAAATCACAACCGAATAGCTCATTAGTGCTATAAGGTAATACTAAAGGTTGATTACTTTTGTAAATGGAAATAATTTTAAGGGAATACGCTTCCCGTATTTCCTAAAAATTACTTTCTAAAAGCTTATTTTGTCTTCTAATTATACGTTAAAAAGTCAAATAATCTCAATGTGTACTAATATTCTAAAAAGTAAAGATTTGTAATTTTGTATCTATACTAATATAATAAAGCGTAAACACACACTTCTTTGTAGCCTAAGATGTCAGCAATTACACCATATTTTTGAATAATTCTCTTTCTAATAAAAAGCCCTACACTTACGTCACGCTTTCAGCTATATATTTTCACGCCATTAAACTTAGGGGTACTATTTTGGATAAAAATCCTAATGTGGGAAAGGGACCATAAGTTGCTGCCAACATCATGGAAGCAAGGTCGCCGTGGTTTGACACCATGTGATGTCATTTTGACATGTGCAATTTATAATTTGACAATTGTAAACAATAAAATATTTTTTTTTTAATTTATGCGGATGAAGTCGCATGGGAACAGCTAGTGTATTGATATAACTTAAACTACTGGGCCGATTTTAAAAATTCTTTCACCGTTAGAAAGGTAATTTGAGTAACATAGGCTATATTTTTAATTTCACGCGGACGAAGTCGCGAGAAACGTCTAGTACAATATATAAATCGCATATATTACAAAGCTAATTTTTTTTTTATAACATAAGGTAGCAAACGAGCAAGCGGCCACCTGAGGTTATTTCCCCTTCCTATGCATCTCCTCCATCAAACCACTTCCTCTTCCCAACCTCTGGTTATAAGAAAAGGATGGTAAAGAGAAAGGGACTTAAATTAGGCTTCCGGCACCACACTCATCAGACGAAACACAATTGCTTCCATTTCACGCCTGTTTTCTGTGTGGTCGTGTTATTACACCGGGCGTGCCGGCCCATTCGTGTTAAGATGTTGAAGAGTGCCCGCAACTGTCAACTGTCACGCATTCTGTCAATATACGAATTAATTTGTAATACTCGATATCAAGTTATAAGCAAGTTATGCAGTTTGAATATTATATCGTACATTACATACAAATATACATTACTATTAAAGTTATACAAAACTGAAAACCAATTACAAAATTGCAACATTATAATAACTTTGAATTACGCTATTCAACAGAAAACTTCCACGTACACTTTTATATTCAAAAACTGAATAACTCTTGACATATTTTTGCACGTCATTATGAGCCAGGTTTCCTTTTGTCTATAGAAAAGTTTGCTTGTGGTTTTCATTATTGACTGTATAACGTAAGTGAAGTAATATGATATACAAAACTATATTGTATATGTCGACGAACTTTTAAAACTATCTTAGTAATATTATAAACTAGCTTTCACTCGCGACTTCGTCCACGTGGAATTAAAAAAAACAAAAGTGAGTAGCCTATGCTTTCATCCAGACTATCCTCTACATCTGTACCAAATTTCATCGAAATCCGTTCAATCGTTTAGGCTACAAACTCTAACAAACATTCTTTTAAACTTTCACATTTATAATATTAGTTTGATGTGGAAGTTTAGATGGATGGATGTTTGTTAGAGTTTGTAACCTAAACTGCTAAACGGATCTTGATAAAATTTAGCATAGATATAGAGGATAGCATCAAGAACGCATAGAGTACTTCCTTTTGTTTTATTTTTAATTCCAAGCGAACGGAGTCGTGAGCAAAAGCTAGTCACTATATTGCCTAAAGGGTAAGTCGCATGCCAGCTACTGGAAGCGTTCACATATGCCAGGTTTCTTTACAACGTAAAGTGAAATAAGTACCACATTGTGCGCCTTTTGAATTTAAACATTACGTCACTGTATAAAATAGAAACGAAACTTCCTGATATAAATTACTAAAGTACGTTAAAACATCAAAGCAACAAAAATACAACAAACACTTCATATCAAAGCTATTGGTAGATCCCGTTTTATTTTACAACCACAATTCGAGGGCTTTGATCTCCAAAACGTATCGTAAAAATTAACGCCGTCGTACCAAAGATACTTAAAGTTTCACTAAATGGTGATATTAATTGGCATTTAAACGCTATTTTATTTGCGTCTTCAAAATTTAATTAACGATATAAAAGGGTACCGTGGCGAGATTACTCTCGAAATTGTATTTAAGTAATTCTAGAAAGGATTTAAGAGCATACTTCATTTTAAATAACAAAGACCATCGCAAAAAGGAGAATTTAATCACAATTTGAATAGCCTGTTTACAAAACTCCATTTATAAAACTATTAATATTGAAAACAATCACAAAAAAACTAAATTGAATTATGACAATTAGCTATTCCCATGCGACTTCATCCGCATGAAATTATGAAAATATTATTTCATTGTTTACATGTGTCAAATTATCAATTGCAAATGTCAAAATGACATGTCATCATGACAAACCATGGCAACCTTAATGTTGGCAGCTTGTAGTCTATGATCCGTTTCCATATTTTTTAAAATTTATTTACCCCCTAAGTTAATAGCGTAAAAATGTAGCCTTAAGCGTGTCGTAAGTGTATGGCTTTTTTTAAAGAAAAAAGTAATAAAGAATACGCTGTGATTTGACATCTTACGCCCCAAAGTAGTATGTGTTTACGCTTTATTATATTAGTAAAGATTAGCACAACACATTTTTAAAACACGATATAGGTAGTCACACAGTTTTATTAACAACTAACGTTTGCTAATAATAAAAACGATAATTATCCTCTAGGGATATGTTGTCTTGATTGGACCCTTTCAATTATTTTCGGCTTTCATTCGTCTTCATAAAATATTTACGACTCCACTTTATGCCAGTTAGAACCGTATAACTATTCGAATAAATATGTTTGCAATGTTCTTATATATTTTAGTTAAATACAGTTAGCGGCACAATTATATAGACTAACATAATGAAGCGTAAATACAATTTCTCCGTGGCGTAGGATGTCAGCATTCACAGCATACTTTTCGATCATTCCTTCTTTAATAAAAAGCCCTACACTTACGACACGCTTTAGGCTATATATTGTTACGCTAATAATTTAGTGGGTAAGTAAATTGGGAAAAAACCCTTATGTGGGAATTATGACATTTGACAAATGTAAACAATTGAATAAAGTTTTTATAATTTCATGCGGTTGATGCCGCATGAGAACAGTAATACATAGTCATTAGTATTATGTGCCCATCGGACTCGCAGTCTACCCCAGTTCAGGATGACTAGGCCTTGGTCAACCATGATGGCCTACTTAGGGTTGGTTGATATAAATAGTTACCATAGAATTTATTAATATACATCTACGATATCCTACAAATCTTAGCTACTTTTTATTATGCTTGGATTCTAATGGCTTAAACTTCTCTCTTATTTTCTTTAAAAGGGTGATTATACATTTTTTTTAAAGGAACAGCAGAAATTCACGATAAATTCAACGTTTACACATATATATCTCAAAGAGGCGTCCCCTTGTTTTGTTCCGTAATAGCAATAATTTTTTGACTCCATTGTTTAATGGTTTATATAAATTGACTTTTCAACTCTTTTATGTTGCATGCATTGTTCGATTTATAACCAACATTTCGAAAATTTGATTAATTTCACGTGCTATTCGAAATATTCGTAAACAATTTTATGATTTACAATGAACGGATTCTCGTTAAAATTGAAAATGTTGCGTTGAAGCCACCAATATAAGCTTAATTATTCCAGAGATTAATAATGATGTAATTAATTTGATGTATTGGAAAAAGCCGTAGTTTAAAACATTTACAAAGCTATTTAAAATTTATAGTTTTATATGATGTTAAAAACTCATATAAAACATACTCGTATACCATGCATAAAGTATTTTTACTTGATCTGAAATGGCTACATTATCTTACTTTACTTATGTATAAAGTGATCCGGAAGGGACCACTCTTGAATAAATGAAAAGAAGCGTAAATATTTGACCTTCAGCGTTTCTTAAGTACAATTTCTTTTTGTACAATGAGAGACCATCACAATGAAAACCCACACATTACAAAGATAAATTTAATTTCTTTTAAACAAGCTGAAAATCTAAGAAATCTGATTGTAACTGTAAGTAATAATAATATTTAAACCCACTTCTTAGAATGAGAAACTATCCATCTTGGACTTAACCCTAAAATAAGACACTAATATTTTTCCTAATAACGTAGCAAACAATGAGCGGGAACACGAAAGTGATCATCTACGCCGTAGACTCTACGTCCATAGATGTCTACAATTTTAGAGGAACTGCAGATGCTTTGCAAGCCTAAGTCATAGTGTTTGATTGACGATTTTGTATAAAATATTTTCTTCAACCTCTTTTCTCCAACAAATTTCGTTGTATAGAAAATCACATTCCTTCATTCTGTACTGTAGGTGACAACAATAGGAGCAAATAAACCTCTTGGATTGCATTCCCGGCGAATCAATTATAGTACGGCTGCCGGAGTAATAGATACGACAGTATACTGGGGACTGTTGACATTCGAGTGATAGATACGACTGTACAGAGAACTATTGACATTCGAGGAATCAATTCAAAAGGCATATATTCATTAGTCGAAGCGATCGCAGTGTGACAACGAATTCCAATTTTCCTGACATTCTATTAAAAATTGAAAGCAACTTTGCGGGAACTATGCGGGACTATTTGATTGGGGCATGTCAAATACTGTTTTTTATAAAGAAACTAGTTTTCGCCCGCGACTCCGTCCGCGTGGATTAATAAAATATAAAAGTGAGTAGCCTATGTGGTCTTCCAGACCTCTATCTATACCACATTTCATCGACATCCGTTTAGAAATTTAGACTATAAACTCAAATAAACATCCATCCATCCATCCATCTAAACTTTCGCATTTATAATATTAGTATGAAAAGTATGATTATTTCAATTTTTTCTTCTAGTTTGATTCCAATCTGTTTTTTTCTATCATTCTAAGTTGATAAATTATTTCTATTGAATCAGTATTAAAATATAACAATAATGTAGAATTTAAATATCCTAGAAAAAAAACAAAAAAAGCATACTCTTTAAAAACTCACCGTAATTTTTACAACTTCTGTAAAATATTTACACTCTAACAAATGTCTCATACACTTTAAAAATACTGAGTACCGTTAGTGAAGTATTTTAAACTTTTAAAATTCACGACAAGGGCACCCCGTGCGGCGACATGCGGCAACCTCGAAGGCCGTCTCTCGACTGAAAGTTGTTAACTGAAAAGAGTAAGGGCGGTCAATCCTGCTATACGTTTCACCCTAAATATAAAATCTTAGAGGTTTCTAATACAGGAATACATTTACATTGTATTGTTTACATTTAAAATAGTAGCAATTAATAAACAATCTTTTAACAAAATCAAATAACACAGAAACATAAGGTACAATCGTGGTCAAACGTAAGTCATTTTAAACATAAAAATTACCATAGTTTTATTTGTAATAAGGTTTTATTATGATTTGTAATCTATACTTATATAATAAACCATAAACACACACTCCTTCGTGGCGTAGGATTTCAAAAATCACAGCATATTTTTGAATAATTATTTCTTTAATAAAAGCCCCACACTTACACACTTAGGGGGTAAATAAATTAGAATTAAAAAAACCCTTTGTTTGGGAAAGGGACCACAAACTACAAGCAGCCAACGTTAAGGAAGCAAGGTTATTATGGTAACTGTTATTTTGACATTTGCAATTAAGAGTTTGTCATATGTAAACAATAAAATAAAGTTTTTATAATTTTATGCGGATGAAGCCATAAACAACTAGTTATTAAAAGTATATTAAAATGTGACCGCGTTTGTGTTGAACGTGTTTTATGAACGTGTATCCTGAGATGATAGATAAAACACGAAACAGTTATGGTGTGTCTAAATAATTTAGATTAGTTTGACAATTCATTTCAAATTTAGTAGGGATGGGTTGTGTAAAATCAGTCATGAATCTTATCGATTTTCAATTTTTTTTCTTATAAAAGTTGGAATCGATAGATGCATAGTTGTAACTTATAAATTTAAAAAAACACTGTTTTCTCAAATTAAAAATGATCATAACAAATAATGAGAGTAAATAAATGTTTATTACTACTACAGCCGTACGTAATCGAATTGGATTTCGCTATCCAATTGACAGAAATGTCATCGCTACATTCTCTACACTATAATCAATACTAGAATTTTCCTATAAATTAGTTAATAAGAAAATAATAATTTTAGTCGAGTTCGATAATTATTTAAACCGAATATTGATAGATCGAAATTGTTCGTTATGCGTATTTGTTTCGTCACTACAATACCTATCTATTAATTATGGCATTTGCCATCATAGAAATTGAATTCGATACTTCATATGCGTCCTTTATCAAACTAATCTATCTTATTTAGACAAACTATAAGTTTTCAAATATCAATATCCCATGTTGGCAACACTTTTGACTGACGAGATGACATTTTGACATTCCTTTGTAGGACGTAGTTGTAACTGAGAATTATTTACTCGTGTAACTTTAACTCGTAACTTTAGTAACCTATCACAATTACGTGTACCAAGCGCTCACTAACAGCAATTTTGGTTTTTGTTAAAAAATATACCAATTTAGTGACATTTCAATTTCAAAAATATTTTTATAACAACATATTGTGCTCTATTTTCCACCTGAAAGCGTTACATAAGTACCTCTACTGGTACAGCGATTCAAAATGCATTATGGCTTAGGAAACAAGAAAGTGTGAACGTTATCAAAAATGCATAAAACACAAGCAATTGTTTTTATTACAGTTTATGTGATACATTTATAGAAGAGACAACCAGCTACAAGACTATTCTATTGTTCAATTTTATTGTATAGCCAGCATTAAATACAATAGAGGAAGCAGTGCAAGATATTTATTAGTCGTTTATCAGGCAAATGAGATAGCTATAAATAAATTGTTGACGTAAGCAGATCTGTTGATCAAAGGAATTCAAACTATTTTAAGCTGAACATTTCTAGATGTTATTAGCATTCTTATAATGGTGCGAATTTAATGGTAGTTAGTTTAATTATAACTTTATACAATTCATGCTTATATGAAAATGCTTATTGGTATTCAAATAAGGGGGTCGAAATAAAATTGATATAAAGATTTAAAAAAATGCTTGTTAATGAATGTGCATAGTTTAGGGGGAAACAAATAAATTTTTACCAGCATTAAATACATGGATATACTTTTAAAAGATACTGTATTTTTAACATTTCAATCTATGCTATTTTTTTATAAGAATAAAACATTATTTATCTTGACAAAATAATTATTTAAGTGTCTTCAACCGAAAACGAAATACAAATGTACGTAACAAAGCGGAATAAGTAAATAGCTAAACAATAAATCCACTTCTAACTTCAAACATCGTAGTTTCAAAGCTGAACTGTAGAATTTAACAAACTAGCGCTGGAAACTTAAATACTACAAGAATCGTAGCAATATACTATATACATCATTAAAGCTACATTTGCACGAGATTTGTGTAGAAGTTTGAAAATGTGTAAACCTAATTTTAACATTGTACTTGCAATTTTGTACTCTTCAAACAACATCCGGCTCGAAGGACCACTGAAAGGTTTAAAAGGAACTGAATAAAATTTTGTAAATCAATATTAATGTGGAAAATAATACGTCAATAATGTTTATAAGTCAAAATAAGAATAAAAAAAGTCCAAAATGGCAGGTACAAGCCGTGCGCCAAGCTGTGAAAAGTCGAACAGGTTGTTTAAAAGTAACAATTTTTCGGAATCACTTTTAACATTAGAAACAACCGAACATTAGAAACATTTTCTATACTATTTTTTAGTACTTTGTAGCTTTTTTATCAGCTGTGTGTGAATAGAAACAAGATTATCCTTTCTTGAATGAATGAAATGGGACACCCAATTACTTGAGATATCTTATCTGAATGTTCAGTCTTGAATTATAGCTACGTTATCTAAGGCTTTAGGCTACAGGCCTTGTGGCTATTATCTCCACTACCCGACATATTGATTTATTTTTAATTCTTGTTGGTGAATTGTAATGTTTTTAGTTTGATACTATCGTTTAAGACTTTGTACCTAATTTTTTTAACAACTAGCTTTCGCCCGCGACACCGTCTGCGTGGAAATAAAAAACAAAAGTAAGTAGACTATGTTCTTCTATGCTTTACATTATTGCCTAATTTGATCGGGATCCGTTCAGCTGTTTCGGCGGCAAACTAACATCCATGCATCGAAACTTTCGCATTAAAATATTACTAAGATGCACAGTATTATTAAAGTTAAGAGATTTTTTGCTCTGTAATACAACACTGTTGTTATTAATAAGGTCCATTATTTTTACAGCACTTGGACCAAGGATCGTATTTTTAACTGCACGGAAAAGTTTTTTTTGTCGTGGAAAATTTTTCCACAAAAAAACGCCCTCAGCGAAACCACTTGCAAGAATATTTTTAGTACAATTCCACTTGTAAGACTTTGGGCGTTTTTTGTTACCAATTTTCACGGCGTCGAAACTTGAGAACAAATCTAAATACAGAGAAAATAAGATTGTATTAAATTTCTTATTTCTATCTGTTACTTGTTGGAAAAAAACTAAATTGGTATTTTTTTTATTATAAAGTGACAAGCTGCTATCTAAAATTGCTAAGAAAGGGAAGGGGACTATTTTAATTGATAGGGGAATAGACGCACATTAAGAGGATATTTCCCCTTCCCAATAGTTACCAGACAAGAATGAGATTAATATTCACTCAAAAATACTCGTTGAATTCTGAACTGTCGGAAGTTTTTGCTCATTTCATTTATAAGCTTATTTACTTACGTTCATACAGTTTTCATTGTTCGGCCGCAGTTTGGAATTAACATATCAATTCGTACGTTAAATTAAAAATGTTAATCAATTTGGACGATGAAATAAAAATAATTAAATGCTTAATTACAATCTTAGGTCTTATTAACGTTGTTAAACAAAATACAGGCATAAAAAATAAAAATAAAACAGTGGATGTGCAATGGATTTGTAAAATTAACTATATGTAATGTTTGGTTTTGTATAAATAAATAAATACTAAAGAATATATATACGAAAGATTAGATAGATGATTTTTAGGTTTACCTGAAACTGTGCTCCGCATCTAGGTGAAATTTGGCACAGATATCTTTTTATAATTTCGCGTGGACGATGTCACGTGTAAATCTAGTCAGTAAATAAAAGAATGGGATCAACAACATAATTAGATTTCTAATGGAAATGGGACAGTAATTTTTTGCATGAAATTTCAATTTCAAAATAGTCTCTTGTTACGCAATCGCACCCTGTATTGTGAAACAAACATTCGGTTAGTTCCGTTTCTATGAATATGCAATAGCGTCGTTTGAAGCTAGGCTGTGGCAGTATTGACTTTTTAATACAATTGCATACAGAATTTTCGAGTTTCTACTAGCGATGTCGGAATTAAATATGGGGTACAACACGAAAATTTGTGAGAAAGTTTACGTATCGACAAATTTTATATGATATATTTCAGTGTACTTTACGACTGATATCCAATAATCTAAAACAAATTTGCTCGATAACATTACGAACAGTTTCTCACAAATTTTCGTACCGGGACCTCTTTTTGTTTGTAACGACGAGTTTATAAAATTCGTGAAACATTTTAAAATATCAAACATTTGATACGCAACAATTAAATAATTACTTAGTTTTCTTTATCTTTTAATTTAGTTTGTACAAAAATTGTATGAACTTTGAAAAAACACAAGAAGCGAGGGCATTTCTCAGGGAAATTCGTATCTAACAAAGGTTGTAATAAAACGTGTACTTCATCTGAAGTGTGCAGTAAAATGTTTTCACTTGTAATAACATAGTGTACTCGTATATGAGAAATGTTTTCTTTGAAGTCTCGTGTTCTTACCCTATTTGTAGAACATTAACACATACAATTTCAATAATTGATTTCAACGTACAGTTCAGCTTCGTATTAAAAAATAACATAATATTAACAAGTTTGATTTGCGCTTAAAATGTAATCCTTTCGCCCGCGACTCCGTCCGCATTTGATTAAAAAACCTTAATAAGTATGTGTTCTTCCAGATTATGTTTTACTATGTGCCAAATTTCATCCAGATCCATTTACCAGCTTAGGCTACAGACTCTAACAAACATCCAGCAGTCTAAACTTTGGCTTTTATAACAAACTAGCCGTTGCTCGCGACTCCGTCCCCATGAAATTAACAAGGCCTGTATTACACAGTGGTAACATACATTTTTAATGATGCAAGAATTATAAAAATCGGTCCAGTAGTTTTTGAGTTATTTGAATACATACAAAAATCCAGAAATACAAATCTTTCCTCTTTACAATATAAGTATAGATATAGATATAGATATAGATATAGATATATATAGTAAGAAGTAAGAGGTATGTTTCAAGGGAGAACCTTTTTAAGATATTGTGACTTTACCTTATCTAAGCATACATTAAAAGTAATGATGACTCTACTGGATACAAAAGCTTTCGTTCTAATCCAACTTTATTCGTTAAAGTTCTCGTAATGGCCAGTTAGCGTGCCAAGGAGATAGGGTAATTAAATTTATTATAGCACGCAAACATTACCAAAACGAAATCCGATATCTACATAATGCGAAAATATGTTTCGTTTCCACGAATTGAATAAAAAATCCGTAATTACACTTAATAAATAAATAAATAAATCCGTATTATAGCCTAGAATATGTAACCTTCTGGAATGGTTAAGTAACTTAACATACAATTCATTAAAATCTTCAAAAGACACATATGGTGTCGTCTCGGTAATTACCTTGATTTAAAATATAGTGAAAAAGGTAAAAAAAGCACTGAACAGTAGAGAACAATCAATAGAGGCTAACAACAAACGACACCGGACAACAACCGCAAGGCAAAACAAATTTTATCAAACTCTTCCACTTTAAATTTAACTCGGAAGTTTCGGTTTCAACTAGAAGAACTAATCCAGGCTGTTTACAGAATTACGCTAGATGGCGCAATTATCTAAATTGCTTTAATATTTTCACAGTCGACTGAGGCAATTATGTGAGGCTAAGTCTCGATTGGGGCATGATCCCTGCCCTTTGCCGGGAAGTACGTCGTTTAGGAAAGTATCGGCGCGTGACAGCTTTCATAAAAGACCCCTATTATGGAAAGTTGATTGAATTTTCTTCTAAATAGAACGTATCGTACACTGTACTTAATTTTTTTACTTGTATCCAACGTTAACTTGAAAATCATAAGAAAAAAAATTAATAACCAGTTCTCTTTTTAAAACGTCTTTATTAAATTTACGATGTCAAATAGTTAATGTAAAGATTAATACAATATTGAAAACACTGAATATGATGATTTCACAATCTGAAAGAAATATTGAATCATTTTATTATTATTTAACTCGTTTTCGCCTGAGACTCCGTCCACGTAGAATTAAAAAACAAAAGTGAGTAGCCTATGTGTTCCAGACTATCCTCTACATCTATGCCAAATTTCATTGAGGTCCGTTCAGCCGTTTGAGCTACAAACTCTAACAAACAACCATATAAACTTTCACATTTATAATATAAGTAGGACTAAGTTAAAATGTAATAATAGTTCAACTTACCGACACATAGGACTGATACGACAGCTCTATTATTCCAAAACTACGCAGAGTTACTGGTCGCTGTAAAATGTTTTTAATTTTATAGCTAACTTTAAAAAAAAGTGACAAACAATTGGTCTTAAAAATTGTCTTATTACCTGACTTTGTGCCATCGCAATTACTAACAAACGTCTAATTCTTACAGAACAATCCTTCTGACAGTTCTCCCAGCCAGAACTATACATTGCCGTACTGAGATGAGATGCCTATAAACAAGAATAAATTCAATCATGGTTACACGAGTACAAGACTATATTACGGGCGCAAACCTTCGACTAAACTATCGCACAACTGTTGTGCGGTTGTCGATTGTTTCGTAGCCAATTCAACTGTTAAAGATCGAGTACTGTGCGCACCTCCGTATTAGCTCATAGAAATCAAAGCAAGACTCAACAGTTATCCAATAGTCTCGTTTCAGGTGTGCCCACGGTCTAACAATAGTTATCTCAAGACTTTGACTCCCTGGTTTCTAACCTTTAAAGTCTGGACGTCAGTCTGTTTATACGCAATTTATTCATTCAAAAATATTACTAATGTTTACCTCAACGGTGACGTCACCAGCACTCCACATAAAGAATCCAGTACTGATGAGCATTGTAACTCCAGTGGTGATGGTAGCCAGGGCATTGATTAACGTCCGCTCCGAGTTCTGGTTATAACGTTAGATAGCAAATTAAATGACCGACAATTAAATAATTGTAAAAAAATTAGAGGCCAATGTTCCTGAACTCATAATAGATATCCAGCAAGATTTTTTATAAAGTTCTATATAAAACCAAACCCCCAACCCTGTCTTCCCAAAAAAAGGATAACTTTAGACAGATACCCCCCAAAAAGAAGATAGACTTCCGTAGTCTCCTTGATATACTGAGGTATGTATAGAATTTTAATAGTTACATTATTTTTTACAGATAACAAGGGTTTAAAATGTATGGACTTACCACCATCTGCAACATAAGAAGACAAAGAACAGAAATGTTGACCAATATCTGTCCACTAAAAACTACTGCACAAGCAGTCTCACTTTCTCTGGTACACCTGAAAGAATTTATGTAATAAAATCTCATTAGAATCTTAAAGATCTTTCCACTCTAAAACTCGCCTTATTTTTCAAAGGGGAATGCGTTACGCATACTCCATGCCTCTGGGCAAACATGTGAGTTATGTGGGACTCTCCCCCCATAGTGGGGGGCATACCTCACTAAACCCCTTCGTTCCCTCCTGGCCATTGTGTGGGACGCCAGGGGATCACTTGCGCTTGCCACCGCGACGCCCCACTGACTCTAAAACTCACCATAACGTATCCGAATGCAATTTTATCCCAATCTTTACTGAATCTTCGTACTTTTTCTCCTTCTCCTCTTGACTTAAATCTTTTTCATCAAATATTTCAACGAGATGATAAAAGTAGCTTTGCAAATTCTTGTACTGATGACTTAGACAGGTTGTTAAACAGATTACCAGAACGTATATCGCTGACATTCGCGTCATGAACAACCACCAGAGGAGGTAACTGATTATCCTTGCGATGTTGGCGTAGGAACTTCTATCATCCACGTCAGGCCATGCGGTGATAACTGTAGTGAACGTTCCATCTACAAATATTAGACTGATTACGGGCCTCTATTTGAAGAAATCTCACCTCTTCCGTTTTCATCATCTTCATTCATCTATACTAAGATTTTTGTATCATCATCATCACCAGCTCACTATACATCCCCACCAAGGTGCTTGGAGCTTACCCTAATAAGGGGTGACTAGTGGCTAAGTGGCTAAGTTGCATTGAAATAACTCAAAAACTCATAGTAACATAAGCTGTATTTTTTTTTAATTACACGCTGATTATGTCGGGAGCACCTATACATATATGCATGCTCGTCGATTTTATATGATTCTTTCAAAGAACAGTAAAAAGTTGATAAATGAAGCAGTTTATAAAAACATTTTTTTTTTAAAATAATGAATGTTTAAAATTCGTAACCCAACTCCCGTACTCTTTGAGATTGTTGGAATAATTTTTCTATGGATTTATCATTACAATGCTTACCTCCTTTAACAATTTAACTGCTTAAAATAGACTATCAAGACTTTAACAATAACGCGTTATACGTTAGATAAATAGTTACCTTTCTTAAACACTTGCATCAGACCATCAACCCCGTAAGATATTAAAGCGGTACTAAAACTGAACAAATACGCAGCTGAGTACATCTTTGATTTTCTAATCATGCGACGTTCAACTTTTTTATCATTATAAACATTTTTTAAAGCCACAGTTAACGCGTGGATAATCTTCTGTAGTTTCTCATTATGATATTCCACGCTTGTGTAATAATTTATTAAAATGGGATGTGATAGTCCGAATAATAATCTATCTGAAGATTGTTTTTCCGTCAGATTTGGTTGAGTGAAAAACCCTATTATCTCTGAAGTAACAAAGATATACAAGCATATTGTGATAACTCTGCTGATCCTTCGATTAATGGATGAAATAAATTTTGAATGATTCTTATTCTCTAACCATAGATTGGACACACCAAAAAAATATAGATAACTATTTAACGTTTTAAAGAAACTGGCGGTTAAATTCTTTGCTGACATTTTGGATAGTAAAATAACTCTTTCCTTTAGTACAGTTGTGTTATCTTTGTAGACTGAAGTAATTTTGATGACAAAATTGTTAGAATTGTAATTTATACGTCTTTCGGAAGTAATTCTACAGGGTCGTATTCAATTTTAATTAAATAAAAACTACTGAAACTGTCGACTTATATAAAAAAAGAACGTATATTTTGTTTTGTTTACATCTATCAGTAAAATTAAAAGTTAGAAAAAAAGTAGCAGGTAGTACTAAATAATTCTCGGATTATTTCACCTTTGTTTAAAATTAAATATCTATATAGTGGTTACCCTTCGAAAAAACTTTGAAATTTAGTTAATCTAATCGGTTTAACTTTATTGAGATTTTTATTTCAATTCTATGTTAGAATTCGTACCTGTTTTTCCAAAATTACACAAAGCCGATAACTTCGTTATACCGAAAATTGATATAATTATATTAATTTCCGCTCTAATTGTAACATGATTACCTGTAGATTAATTACGTAATAGAATGTACATGTAATGTATAATATGAAAATAATAGAAGAATAAAATACATTAATAAGTTCGGGTCTGGTAAATTTCAGTTTGAATAGTCAGTTCATAATAATTACTTGTTCAATTATTACATAATTGCAAAAGGTAATTTCACTAACTGCTAACTATCCGTTAATTATAGAGCGAAATCTTACGCTACAATTACATTTTCTAAAATCACTTTATGATAGTTTGAAATGTAAATTAAAATCGATTAATCATACTAATATTATGAATAGGAAAGTTTAAATGGATGGATGGATGTTTGTTAGAGTTTGCAGCCTAAACGGCTGAACGGATTTCGATGAAATTTGGCATAGACGTAGAGGATAGTCTGGAAGAACACATGGGCTACTTTCTTTTGTTTTTAATAATACCACGCAGACGGAGTCGCGGGCGGAAGCTAGTTAATTTAGAAATCTATTACTTTTTACATTTGATTTGTTGAGTTAATAAATCTGGTCTCTACATTTAAATACTACAGCGACTTAAATTAAAAAGCCGCGCTTAGAATTGAAATCTAGTAGATTGTGAGCTATTTTAAATTTATTTCAATATTCACTCAATTTTCTTAAGTTTTTGGCCGAACCAGTTACACGAAATTATATTTCTATCTCTATTGTTTCAAAGGGAATGAAGGGAATGAAAAAAATGTTTCATCCTTGAAAGTTATTGTCACATCAAAGAGTAAAAATGGATACTTGATTTCACAATGTTCAAATTACAAAGAAATTTAATTTCAATAAAATTGATTTACCCAACAGAGTTTAAGCAAGAATTCCCAAACATTGTTGAACACTTTTCGGTCGAACGAACGTAAATATAATTTCACTTTCACCCTCTGCTTTCAGAGGTGATATTTTCTGAGAAATAATTTTCTGAGGAAAATTTCTGCAAAAAACGATTTTATTACTATTACAGGTTATTGAAGCAAGAGAAGAGAAATTTTCTTCTACTTCTGCTTAAAACATTTTAAATACAAAATTATGTAACGAAATTATTTCTTACAATTTAAACATTTTGTATTGATTTAACTAAAATTTGTTATATTCATCGTTCAGATTCAGTCAAATTATGTTTCAGTCAAATGTCAAAATTACATGACACGACAAACCTTAGCAATCTTACTTTCTTGATGTTGGCAGCAAATTATGGTCTCTTTCCCACATTAGGGTTTTTATCTAAAATATTTAGCCCCTAAGTTTAATGGCGTGAAAACATATAGCCTAAAGCGTGTCGTAAGTGTAGGACTTTTTTATTAAAAAAAAGAATTATTACAAATATGTTGTAATTGCTGACATCTTAGGCAACAAAGAAGTGTGTGTTTACGCTTTATTATAATAGTATAGTATAGATTTAAAATAAGTTAATATAAATAAACATCAAAATAACTCAAAGCTGAAAATATCGCAGAGCAATGTTTACTAAATTTCGCTTTCGAAATCAGCTATCGACTTCCTCTAATCTATCCGGAAAATATTCTATAGAGATCAAAGCTTTTATCCCGTCCGGATCTTCACAAAGCATGTCAATACTTTCCTGGAGACTTTCGTAACTTTGCCTTGTCATCGACTCTTTATCTAAGCTTTGACCCAAAATAGAAAAGATTACTATTGGAATGTTAGAAGTAAAAATGTAATCTTAGACATTAAACAGTTTTGTATATTATATATAGTAAATAGTTAGAAAATGACTATTTATTCTGTATAATATTTTTTTAATTTTATAATCTTGATAAAGTCGATATACGATTGAGAATCTTGAATAACGGTATTGATGTACCGAAACTAATCTTCCTCTTACTAATGTTATAAATGCGAAAATTTAGATGGATGGATGTTTGTTAGAGTTTGTAGCCTAAACTGCTGACCGGATCTCGATGAAACACGGCATAGATGTAGAGGATAGTCTGGAAGAACACATAGACTACTCGGACTCGCGGGCAAAAGCTAGTTTCAACATATTTTGTATTTTTTTCTACAAACAAAACTGTGAAATGGAACTAAAAGAATATTGCTTCTACTAAAATTATCGCGTGGATAGGATGGTGCAGTACTAAATTATTTAATATAACTATTATTTATTATAGAAATATACAGTTAAGTGATAAGTCACTGATAAGAGGTTCTAAAATTATACCTAATTATACCCATATTAATATTATAAATGCGAAAGTTTAGATGCATGGATGTTTGTTAGAGTTTGTAACCTAAACTGCTGAACGGATTTCGATGAAATTTGGCATAAACGTAGAGGATAGTTTGGAAGAACAAATAACCTACTCAGTTTTGTTTTTTTTTTTAATTCCACGCGAACTGAGTAGCGGGCGAAAGCTAGTACGATATAAAAAACACAATCCCCTTCAAGATAGAGCCTTTTAATTCTTTGAATCCAACGAATTACTCAACTCAAAGAAAGTTTTCAGCTGGAACTTCTCTCAGCATTGTCTAACTTTACAAATCATCTATCACGCGCATCAGCAGACAATAACAAATGTTAACTTGTTCTATAAAACTATTTAATTTTAGAGAATTTCTAAAAAAGTGAATATTCATTACTTGCCTTAGTCGAGGATTAAAGTTTAAAAATTTTAATTTACTATTATCTAACACTCTTTATAAATAAACTATTGATTGTTATGTGACAAATCTAACTGCAGCATTCAGAATCGTTAAAAAGTCACCTTAGCATGTCCCTCGATAGATTTACTATGTACACGGATGTTTCTAAGTGTGGCAATAAAATAAGTAGGTATATCATAAAATATATTCATGGAATTACATTATACATTTCTTACTAAATTTATTACACTTGGTATAAATTACTTAACAATTCATAAAACACGCTTCATTTCATATAGACGGTACCTGCCACTCCAGTTATTGACAAACATCTTATCGTTACTCACCTGTCGAGTAAAATATTATACAATTTGAACGTTATTTAATATACGTCAGAGAAATTTGATAAATTTCAAACAAGTAGGTATACCAAAAAAGTACGCAGTTGGTTATGGTGGGGGTAACCTGACTCATACTGTCTTCAGTCATCATCGCGTTCGGACGTGTCGTAGAGCAAAAAAATAAAATGTTTATTTTATTTTGTAAAGGAAATATGCAGCTCTATTCATCGTATATTATTTATTTTCTTATCACGTAAATAAGTATCCTTACATGTAAGTCCTCAAACCTGTTAACATTTATGACTACTTTGGGGAGTATTCAAAAGAACGATTTGTCAAAACTGTACACAATCGCAATAACAAAAGAAATATCGTATAGTAAATCTATATTTGAAACATCGAAACAAATGTTATTTGCCGCACAATGTGAACTCAAACGAATCCAATGAATATGCAATAAGCCTGCACGTGAAGTTTATTGAGACATGAATGTTTTGTTGGAACAATTTTTTACCTACCCTCATTTTAATAACATTTCAAAATGTACAACACTTTTATTAAAATATAAGTAAATGAGAAGTTATAATACAGTATTAAGTTGAAAGTAAAAGTATTTTAAGTACAGCAGAATATTCTATTTTAAGTAATCACTCTAATATAATTTACAAGTTCTTTGTTTGTTCAATTTGCTATTTGACTTTCAAATGTACTTTCAAGTTAATCCAAGTTCAAGTCGCGCTTCTTTCGGCAATCACGCCGTTAGACGAAATAAATATTTATGATATTTCTTGTTGTTTTATTATAATCTATCTCTAGTTATTACGATACACTTTGCAATTTTCGAGGATATTGAACTTTGAAAATTAGATTTGAAATTAGAATTAGAAAATTGTTTATAATATTTAAGGAGTTATTATAGAGCTTTCACAACACAGGTAAATTACAAAAATAATTAAAAAATCTTAAACGAGACTTTTTAAAAAAATATAATCAATGCTGTATTTTGCCTTGCGAGTTCACTTTAATATACCTAAAGGTGCTAGTAGCATTGAAAGTGTTAAAGAGAAATTCGCAGTTGTGGATAATATTTCGCTAATCTGTAATTAAACGATCGCTAATGGTTACTTAGTGGTAGAAATTACTCTTTCAAATTACCTTCTAATTGGAGTTTTAATTATAATACTAAATCCTCAAGTTACCAGGTATGTACTGGTGTAGTTTTTAAATAAAAAACAAAATAAGTATGAATTAATTCTCTCGCGCGTTGTTCGATATTTACACACACATTACAGCTCAATATGTTATTAATTTTAATGTAAAATAAATATGAAAATAATAGATGGCAAACTGCCAAATCTTACTCTTTTTTAAAAATAATTAAAATCGGAGTTTCAAATTTATTTAATTTTCTCGTTGTAAGTACGTCCCTGTTGTATAAACCTTAGCTATTGAATACCGACAATTACGTCAGTTACCTCGCAGTATTAATTAAATGTATCAAATTACAACGTGGTAGTACATAATTATTGTTAGAGTCATGGCGTCTTCTCTATGAATTAAG